CTTGAACTTTCGATTATGTCAAATAGAATTTCCGATATATATTTACTAATATGTAAAGGATCTACAAAGCGAAAGTATGTTTCGAAGTCCATTAAACAAAAAGTGGAATTGCTGCAAAAATGGATAAAGGCATAATCCTTTGTTTATCTACCCATTCTGCGGCGGAAGGAAGGAAACGCCACGGCGCGCAATGAATTGGAAGTTGATCTGTCAGCACTCTCCTTATCTTCAGGGTAGATGTCTTTATTTTATTTGGCTTATAATTCCTTACTAAATGTAGTATTTCATCTCGATGTACTCTGTCTTTGATATGATTTAAATCAAATTCCTCGTCATTATAATTCGCTTCCGATAGTGAAGAAAGTGACACGAGGTTATTGAAAACGAAAAAATTTCGATTGACAAATTAGTCGGTATTCTCGACACAGCAATTATAGGACTTCAACAGCGGAACTTTGTAACTGAAGAAGAAAATTATGTCTGTTTATAGAATTAAAGAGAAAATATTATCACATAAAACGAAGCAACATATCAAGCTATCATATTATTACATATCAAGCAGATTATTTTATCTTTTATTTCGCAGCAAAACTATTCTAATTCCCATTTCACTTGGAATATTCTATGTCGTCAGCGATTTTTCGTTTAATTTTACTACCACTTGGTTTTGATATAGACATACTGAATACAAAGGGCTTGAATAAGCACGGTTAACGTTAAAAAGTTAACAAAAATTTGTTCTTTCCACAAGAGATAAATCAAAATGCTGATATATTTCTTCAAAAATATTCTAACAATATCACAAAATGTCAATCGTTTAGCCAAAAATCAATTCAAACACAGAGAAACTAATTCTATCTCACAGCGAATCGCTACAAATCAATCACAGCATTAAGTAAACAACAGTTCGCTAGAACTACAGCTACTACTGAGATGAGTTGTTTGTTCTTGGCTTTTATAAGCTTTATAATTAATTCCTCGAATATACTGGAAACATCTATAAATATCTGGATTTTTGTGGATGGCAACAGCAATTACGGGATATTTATTTATTAGGTATTAAATGCACGCGCTGTTCTATTTTTAACCTTCCAACTCATCTGTCTTTTCAAAAATCGTCTGCGTTGCTAAGGCAACATGAAGCAAATCTAATTACAATTCTAAATAAAAAAAACTAAATAAATAAATAACTATGAAATCCGTAACAATATGAACAACTTAAACAACTTACATTGAAAGAAATGTTTAATAAAGTAAACAAATAAATAGTAAGCATTTTTTTTTTTTTTGTAAATTTTGATACCCTTTATATCATAATTGTTCTTTATTTCATAAATTACGGTTTCACATTTTTAATTTCATAATTTCTACATACCATCTTACCAGATTTAAACTGATGATCTATAATAGGGAAAAATCGATAATCCGGAATCGCCGAAGTCCCGACAAGTCCGGATTAACGACTTTTGACTGTAATACTAAATCATTACAGCAGAGATGTCAAACTCATAGGTTCACTTGGACCAAACAAACAAGGTTTAACTTTAGGCGGGCCGGGGAAAAAAAAAAAAAAAAAAAAAAATCAATATTTATAGAAACGTAGACTTTTTTCGAATAATAAAATAATAAACATATATATTTATATATTTATATAGAAAAGAACAAGAAAAATTTAATGTTTACGTCCTGATACTTGACATCTCTTCTCTGCTATTATCTTTCCTATTTCGGGAGAAATTTTTGTTTTGCAGTGATAACTTTTCAACGCTGACCCAAGGTGAGCATCATTAATACGGTTTCTAATAGGAGACTTATTATCTTTCATGAATGAAAATAACTGCTCGCACCGATAAGTGCTACCAAACATGTAAATAATTTCATATGCGAATTTTCGAGTATTTTCAAACCTGGCTGGTAAATATTTGTAAAATTCAGGCACGCCCACTTCAATGAATTTTGCTTTCAAATTTGAGTTGCATTGAATCTGGATCACCTCCATTTGCATATGGCTGGGTACTGAGTCAATACTTATTGAGAAATTCGAAGAAAACAAAAAAATTTGTCTTCGAGGGAACTAAAATCATTAAACCTCGTTTCAAATTCAGTTGTTAAATTTGCAATTTTTTCTGCGTATTTTTGATACGAACAAGTATCATCTAAACTTGATTTGTTCATACTGCACGTCGGGAAGTGCGTCAAATCTTCATTTTTAAGTTGTTTTTTTTCCCGAAGAACTAGTTGACATTTGAATGCTTTAATTTATGTCAAACATGTTCGTAATGATATGATCTTTTCCTTGTAACGATAAATTTAAATCGGTTAAGTGTTTTGGTTATATCAACCAAGAAAGATAAATCTTGTATCCGATATTGGATCGTAAAACAAACTTATGTCTTGATTTTTCGTTTTTAAAAACTGACATATTTCTTCTTTCAAATCCCAGAATTGTTTGAGAATCTTGGAGCAAGATAACCAACATACCTCGGTATAGTAGGACAAACCCGAATATTCACTATCTAACTCACTTAAGAAAGCAGTGAAATGACACTGATTTAAACCTCGATATCTTATAAAATTTATAACTTTTTTTATATATGACAAAACATTCTCCATATTTATTACTTTCGTGCATAGAACTTCTTGATGTATAATACAATGCATATGATGAATGTTTGAACCGTGAATTTCACTAAGTTTTTTTCTTAGTAATGCTACGAAGCCCTTGTTTTTCCCGGTCATTGATGGAGCGTCATCTGTAGCTACAGAATTTAATTTTGCCAAAGGTAGATTGTATTTCTGCAGAAGTCCAAAAACACAAGTAAATATATATATCTTCTCCTGTGGTAGTACCAGGCATCGGTATTAGTTCCAGTAATTCCTCAAAAATGTTAAAATTCTTGTCACAAGAACGAAGAGATGCTGCTAATTGAGCTTTGCCACTAATGTCCGTGCTCTCGTCACAGGCAATGGAGAAACTTTCGAAACTAGATGATTTTGCTTTGATCTGATCACTTAAATTCGCGGGTAAATCAGTAACTCTTTCCGCAACTGTATTTCCAGACAATGAAATTGATTGAAAAGCCTTCACATTTCCAGGACAAACAATTTCTCCAGCTTTCATTAGGCATTCCTTGATAAAATCACCGTCAGTAAAAGGCTTCGAATGTTTAGCTATCAACTCGGACAAGACGTAGCTTGCATGTACCGCCGCTTCACTTTCTTGCAATACTTTACTAAACATGGACTGTTGCTTTTTCACTCCTAACTTGAGCTCTTTCAACTTTTTCTTCTCTCATTAATCCTTCGTAATTGTTATATTTCGATTTGTGTTGTTCGTAATGACGTTTAATATTATATAACTTTGGTACATTAATAGTATTATTACATATCAAGCAGATTATTTTATCTTTTATTTCGCAGCAAAAATATTCTAATTCCCATTTTACTTGGAATATTCTATGTTCGTCAGCGATTTTTCGTTTAATTTTACTACCACTTGGTTTTGATATAGACATACTGAATACAAAGGGCTTGAATAAGCACGGTTAACGTTAAAAAGTTAACAAAAATTTGTTCTTTCCACAAGAGATAAATCAAAATGCTGATATATTTCTTCAAAAATATTCTAACAATATCACAAAATGTCAATCGTTTAGCAAAAATCAATTCAAAACAGAGAAACTAATTCTATCTCACAGCGAAATCGCTACAAATCAATCACAGCATTAAGTAAACAAACAGTTCGCTAGAACTACAGCTACTACTGAGATGAGTTGTTTGTTCTTGGCTTTTATAAGCTTTATAATTAATTCCTCGAATATACTGGAAACATCTATAAATATCTGGATTTTTGTGGATGGCAACAGCAATTACGGGATATTTATTTATTAGGTATTAAATGCACGCGCTGTTCTATTTTTAACCTTCCAACTCATTTGTCTTTTCAAAAATCGTCTGCGTTGCTAAGGCAACATGAAGCAAATCTAATTACAATTCTAAATAAAAAAAACTAAATAAATAAATAACTATGAAATCCGTAACAATATGAATTAAGTAATAATTAATAATAAAGCAAAGTGCAGGCACATGCATGCACCAATATATCGTACAAAACTATGATTGGAAAACTGACACCATGAGTTGGCCACATTCGGCTATCGGGGGGATGCGTACAAGTTCTGAGTGCACGTGTCTCCCAAAAGCCGAAGGTAGCTGAACGCAAGCTACGTACATAATTCGAAACTTGTATCATGTTATTCGATGAGGGGTAGGGCTATGGCGCCCAGGCACCCTGGTGGTTAAGCACCGCAGTTCAACATGATGTATCACACGCATTTGTAATTTAAGTAGTGTGTGTGTCAGCTCGCTGTGAGTAATCTAACAACACTGAATAAATTATCGTTAATTACTTAGCAGTAAACATTTCATTTTTTTCTTCGTCGATATGTTATTTTATTATTATATCTTATTATTTGCCGAGCCGCAAAAATATTTGTTGTGGGCCGCGAGTTTGACATCCTTGCATTACAGCATTACATGGCTCATCCGCAATTTGCTGGATCCTACTACCATTTCTCATTTTCACATTACCAGCTTATATTGATATCCACAATTATTAGTAAATTATTTTTTAATGAATTGTGAATAAAGTGTCATCCTTTTCTTTTTTATTGTACTTTTAAATCTTAATTTGGATGTTAATTTATTTACATATTATACACAATGCCTATTAGATGATGCGGAAGAATTTCTTAGCAATGTACTTTATGTTTCACAATAGTTAGAAATTTTTCCGTGTTTAAAAGAATTGGCAGACTGCCATCGGCTGTTATCAAAATGTCTGCTGTTTGTCGTTGGATGTTATCTAAACGTCTGCTTAGTTTCTTGTACTTCATACTACTTTGTTAATTAACGTCATACCACAATAATCTTACTTCCTATAGAGAATGATAAGAAACAAAGCTGTGTAATCTAGAAATTGGAAAGATAATTGCAAAGGAGTGAGTTGAGTACTCTAATCGCACACTATGCCCAAATCCCAAAGGGATGATCAGTACGACCTCGACTGTGAGCGGCGAAAGTGAAACAACTTCTTTGTCACATTCTGATTGGATAAGTCTATTTATCGTATACTTCCGTTCCATCCACGTGGTTGAGGAGGCGAGTCGGAGATTACTGTTGTCAACTGCGGAAGGAAGCAATTTTTATTTAAAAAGCCGGTTTGGTGGTTGTACTTTAATTGATTTCAAGAAATTTCATCAGAGATGACTTCTCGTATTATGGTTCCTTTTACCTTCTGGTAAATTCTGAATTTCTTGTTTTTTAAATAGAGTTTTGTGTATTTTAAGAATATTGAATAAATAAGAAATCATAAGCTGTTTTCCTTCATGTGTATTCAGTATTTACATTAAGGATTGTAGCTCATAAATTTTGTGTTTTATTTAAATATCCAGCTGTATTTTTTGTGGTACAGGAATTCTTCATGATCTAAACATACGAGCTTGTAAATTTATTCAAAAATTCGGCTTGTAAATTCATTCAAAAATTCGGCTTTTCATATTAGAAGTCAGCTAAATATAGGATTAAAAAATGCAGTTAACCACCAGTTAAAATGAGAAGGTGTTTATATTAGAATAATATGCTTAAAAGCTCTGAACCGATTTTTTTTAACTCTGCTATTGCTTTTAGTATTTCAGAGAGAAATTATACATCTTTTAGCATCTAATTTAATGCGTTTCAATCCCATAAATAAGAATAAGAACATCCTGGGGCAACTTGTAAGTAATAAGAAGCTTCTGTTTTTGTTTAAGGAGATTTATATAGTTTACTTTAAAAAAAAAAAAAGAAATTTGTGCTTTAATGTCTAGAAAGCCAAATGTGTTATTGCATGATGAATATTTTCTGCTAATAATTCAAATAATGGATGATGACTGATAGGCAGCAGTTTCTCTGAATATTATTAATTTAACAACAATTTGTGTCGCAGTCTGTCTGTGAATGATTCGTATGAATATGTAGACCATTGAAAGGAAATTTTCATTTACATTTTATAAAAATATATCTATACTGTTGGAAATATACGTGTCAGATAGTATATATAAATACTGAAGACTTTCCCCATCCCAAAGAATTGTATTAAATTAAAATAACATGCCAAACAGGTATTAATTTAGAAGTAAAACAAAACAAACAAAAAATCAGCCTTATATTTGTAAATTTTCACAGGACTAGTTTTGATGGTTTTACTGAACCATCATCCTTAGGTGCCAAAGCGCAAATCATAGTTCAGTTCTTCAGTTCGGTAAAACCATCAAAACTAGTCCTGTGAAAATTTGCAAATATGATGCTGATTTTTGTTGTCTGACCTTCTAAATTAATAATCATATTAAGGTTTGAGAAAAACTTACCGAGATGCAAGGTAATAGAAAGAAAATATAAATGCTGGATTTTTTTAAATATGGTAAAGTTATATTAAATAATCAAATATCTCCTGAAAATTTTTTACTTCATTATTTCATGCTTAATTTTAATAATATGTTTGTATCTGAGGAAGTACTGAAGTTGGAGTATAAATATTGTTGGCTGTGTTTTTGTATGGCCTTCTTATCGCTGCAATGTTTCTACCTACTATTATTTTATATATATATATTATGAAGCTAATCTACACATGAACTAGAATATATGTACAGTTAGTTGAAATATATGCAAATTTTCTCTGCTTGTAATATCTGTATTCTATATTTATTCCGGTTGATCTTTACATTATGGTAACTTGGCGATTTTTTTGGCGAAAATTTGGCAACCAACTCTCCTACAGCAACCCTCTATTTTTTTTTTTCCCGCCGCCATTTTGTCTTTACGAAGTAAAGACATGTTTCTTTTCTTTTTATCTACTGAACACTTCTTCCAACAATCTACTAGCCGAATTACACTTATGCTAGAAATTTTATCGAACAAAACTGCTTAATCATGACAAATATTCACTGCAAAATTGGGAAAAAGTGCACAATACCATACTCCTTATGCGTTTTTCAAAATAACACACATAAACCATGTACACATAAACCATGTACACGCCGACTTATTTTTACTTAAAAAAAATCCCAGAATTGCACAAAAATGGCATTGCGCACACTCTTCACTATATCCATGTACACTGCTTTTTTCTCATAAATTAGAAAAATTTCACGAAAATACATGAGAATTTTCTCAATCTTTAAACCCGGTAAAAAGAACATATATGAAATTACCTCATCACGAAAAAGTATTTACCCTTTACAAATATGAACATTTCCACATATAAAATAAATAAAATATCCAAAAACTTTTATCTCTAAATCATCTATTACATTATACACGTCACCAACGAATTCATACCGCAAGCATTACAAATACTTAGTATCAAATATTTAAATTATTTCCATGCACGTTTATTTCAACTTAAATGTATACCAAATTCCTACAAACATAAAATTCACAAAATAACTATCATTTAATTAAAATATCACTAAACCATGTACACGTTGACTTATTTTTACTTAAAAGAACATCCCAGAATTGCACAAAAATGGCATTGCGCACACTTTTCACTATATCCATGTACACTGCTTTTTTCTCATAAATTAGAAAAATTTCACGAAAATACATGACAATTTTCTCAATCTTTAAACCCGGTAAAAAGAACATATATGAAATTACCTGATCGCGAAAATTTTACCCTTTACAAATATGAACATTTCCACATAGAAATAAATAAAATATCCAAAAACTTCTAAATCATCTATTACATTAACACGTCACCAACGATTCATACCGCAAAGTTACAAGTACTTAGTATCAAATATTTAAATTGTTTCCATGCAGTTTATTTCAACTTAAACGTATACCAAATTCCTACAACATAAAATTCACAAATAAACTATCATTTCTTAAAATATAATTAAATTCAAAAACACTACTTAAAATATAAATGAGCACTACATTAAATTATAAAAATTATCTACAATCCTAATTACTTTAAACTAAATCAATTGCTAATAACAATTTTCCCAATAATACCAAATTCCTTTTCCACCTTACTTTAGAACAATGGCATAAAAATAATATCCTCAAATAATTAAAAATACTAACTTACCTAATCTTCTCAGAATCTTGATTACGTGGCGGATACACTTTTCTATTCATTGAATAAAATTATTCAAAGATTTTTTCTGCGAATTTTTCCTCCATACTTCCTCCGCTAAATAAAAAGCAAACTTCTCTTTATCACAATGCCAAATACCCATTTGAATCACTTTAGTTAGGGCCATGGGATCCAAAAATTAATCAACACTGTTTCACACAACACACTATGAAGCTAAATACAAAATCTCCACTTTTTTTCCCAATTTCCCCCCTTTTCGGATTAAAGAACCGTAATTCGTCCATTAATATCACGACATATCCCGTGATCTCTCATTTCCCTCACGCAAAATAATGCGTAATCGGAACTGAGTACTGCTCACATTATTACCAAAGTCCCAGGTAGTAACCTTTATCGCCTCCAAAATGTCGCCAAACTACCGGTTACCATATTGTAAAGATCAACCTTTATTCCAAATTTCCAAAATAGACTATCCTAATGAGCTAATTCAGTCTTAGTATTTTTAAATTTAATATTCAGTTGTATTATAAAATCAAAAAAGAGAAATATTTATATAATTTCATATTGTTGTCATTATAGTTGAATTCCATTTGTCATTAAAACTAGTTTCTAAAATTTTATGATATGCATGATTTATCAAAACTGTTGCAATAAATTATTTTAAGATATATAAGTACATAGACTTTTGATAAATGATTGCATAATATGTAAAGAAAGTCAAACTTAGGACTGTATAAAGTGATCATATTTATCAATTGAATTTTGATTATAACAAACTGAAAAAAAAAAAAAAAAAATATGGGAAATTGTCATTGTGATGTTGATACTTTAATTAACTTTAAGGAGACATATATTAGAATATACTTTTGGAGAATTTTAATCAGAAATAGTTTTAAAAATTTTTACATTTTGCAGTTATTACATAAATGTTTGTTTATAAACACTACATATTCACAATTTTTCTGGGAATTATCCGAATAATATCATGCTATTATAATTTATAATATTTAGAGAGCATTTCAGTATTCTCTTCTTAGCATTTGTAAGGAATTCCTAATCAATTTTTTGAGCTTTATCTTCAATATGCTTCTTGTTTAATGTGCATGGTCCCTTTCAGAAAGTGTTTGTCAGATACCTCTGTCAGCAGTGCTACTTGTTAATTTTTTACATTAATATCTATGTAAGCAGGGCTGGTGTCAGAGCATGTGCAACAGGTGCAGCCACACCAGATGGCAGAATTTAAAGGCAGCAAAATTTATAAAATTTAGGGAATTACTGGGCAACAGATTCTAGAAATCAAAGTGATTGCACTGGGCGGCGAAAAGCCTAGCACCAGCATTATATGCAAGTTTAAAATTTCTGATGATCCAGGCTCGTTTGAGATTTTTGATTTTCATCTTCATTTACCTTTTTTTTATCTTTTACTGAAAGATTATTGAACGATTCCAGCGAATGTAGGACATCAGTGAGATTAGTTTTCCTTGCTATCTCATTGCATTCATATTTTTATGTTATGGTGGATTTCACCATTTATTTCAAGTTCATTTGCTCATGATTAATGTAAATAAAAAAATTATCTCATTTAGTGATTTTATTTTAGTAAAAACAAATTCATTTTTTTAACAGTTTAATCACATTCAAATGACTCAATGATTTTAGTCAATCACAAATTCCCTGCATATTTGTGTACAAATGGCCAGGATTTTGGCTATTTAATAACATCTAAATGATAACAGTAGCCATGATTACATTATATGATACTGCTATATTTGATTTTTAATTTATTAATAATTCACATTCTTTTAGGTCCCAAAATCCTGCATATCTTCCATGCCTTTCAGAACTTGATAAAGAAGCCTCAAGCAAATTTGATTCTGTTGTAATTGTGGCATCAGATGTTTCTAAAGTAACACTTCCTGATTCAAGCTTCTTGAAAGGTTTCATAGATAACTTGAAAATTCATAAAGAGGTAGTTTATTTTGCATCTCTAATTTTAAAATCATTCTTATATAGATTTTATTTGGAGGAGAATTTAAATCATACTTATTTATTCATCTACTTTTAGTTTGATGCTGTATTTGAAGAAGTTGAAAATTTTATTGTACCTCATGTCCCTAATTATGAACATATAAAGAAGTTGGTGAGTTGCTTTTATATTTATAAAAGTTGAATTGTTTTCTAAAACATATACTAAAATTAAATAAAATTTAATACATTATTTGCTAACAGCTGCAACATACAGGCTATGTTTCACTGCTTCATCTTACAATTATCAAAATGCAAGTAAGCATTGGAACTATATTTTTCTGTGTATGGAGTGATGCTTTTAAATGCCATTTTGTTTTTATTGTCCACACCTCTGTCATTCACCACTTATAAATAGTTTACATGTAATAGTTTAGGAATTGTGGCAATGTGTAAACATTTAGCTGTAACTTCACTCCTATTTTGTCTACCAAGCTATATTTTCACTGTCTGTGGTGTGTTTTCACCCTGCGAAGACTTCAGAGTAAATACTAAACAAATTCAAACATACAGTAAAATGTATGTAAATTTTTATTTGTAATTATCTAGAAAATGCACTTAGTTAAGCTAAGAAACCTGATTTATTACAGAACTGATAATATTACTATTTCTAGTTGCGGAAGGATGATGTTACAATGACGGAAAGCTTACCAATTCTTATTGTCTGATTTGAAAGCAGATTGAATGAAATTTGTTTTTTTGTAGCTGGTAGCTTCAAAAACTCTCTAATTAAATCCTAATTCAAAGTTCAACAAGCTGTATATTAACTTTGCTGTACTGTAGTTTCTTATTTCTGCACATTTTTTCTTTCATGTTAATTTACAAGTTTTGAAGAAAATGAATATTTCATAAATATAAGAAAAAATTAATAAGCTAGCATACTTAAAACAATAAAATTAAACCTTATAAATTTACCTTAAATGATCACAGCTGCATAATCCAAGTTTTAACAATATGTTACTACAGACAGGGCTGATGCAGTTGCACTGGTTGCACAAAGTGGCAAAAGATGGCCAGAAGATTTTTAGAATTTGGATGACAAAATTTTTTGAATTTAGAGAGATACCAAGTGGCAGATTTTAGGACCTGTAGAGATTGCACTGAGTGGCAAAATGCTTAGTACTATCCTTTCCTATAGATTTATCCTGTTCTCATTTGAGTTTATATTTCAGATTTGTTTCTTTGAATTTTGTGATATTGTAAGAGATTTCTAAATGCAATTGAAAATGTATATAAATACTTCAAAAAATTATTTGAAAGCATTTATATTGCGGGATATTGCATATTTATTGCAGGGTGACCCAATTTGTGACATATTTTAATCTGTTAATCTGTTTTTTTTTTTTTTTTTTTTTGAAGGTTTATAGTCCAACTGGCCCTTTAGACAGAAGTTACGATGATGTAAGGCGATTTGCTGATGCTGCCGTCAAAGGAATCAAAAGGTACTTCTGATTTCAGCTTTTTATTTATCATTATCTGTGTACAGTGAAAGCCCAGTAAGTCTGTACATCATGGGTAAGGAAATATATCTGAGTGTGGAATTATGAAGATATAGAGAAGTTAAAAAAAAGAAAGGGGGAAGAGAAAAAATACTAAGGAATTGAAAATATTTTTAGTCAGCTTAGAGTTACATTTGTTGTCAGAGTTAACTGCTAAAGCAAAACCAAGGACGTGGGTTTAACTCTTTCATAAGTCATGGTTCTCCCTTTTCATGAGGCAATATATCCACTGTGATGTACTCTGGGTAGTGTTGTTGATGATGACAGCTAAATGATCAATAGATTTGGCCATGTCTGACAAATAGTGTTTGAGCAAGTATCTGCTTATGGGGAAAAAATTAATTTATAGAATTACATTTATTGAATAAAATTGTAATTTTCTAATTATTCTTACTTTATTTTGTTTAAATTTATTTTATGTTCATAACCAATTAAATTGTAAATTAATACTTACTTTGATTTATTTGATTAAACATTTATGCATGTTTATAATGAAAATTGTTTTTAACACATTTAAAAAATTCATAATCATAGGTTGTTTAAATTTTGTTTTACACTAAGTATAGTCTTTAATGCTCCTTAAATATTTCAGGAATAATGCCTTAAATATGCTTCTGGACCAACTTAAAGAGAAATTGTCTATTTATATTCATGGCTTGTAAACTATGAAACTAAAGTCTTCCTTGTAGTCATGGGTTCTGAATTTGAATATTCATTATGTGAAGTTCATCTTCCAAATTCTGTTTTTCATCAAGGTAATTCGTGCATTTAGAATGTCATACTTAAAATTTCTTCTTCATTCTTTATTCCTGCAGTATCAAGATCATTATCAATTGTCACATATTGTTCAGATTCTGGATCTTCATTTTCTAAATTAGTTGTTCCCTCTACCTCAATGTTAAAGGAAAGTCAGTTTTTAATTTTTTATTAATTTTTTTTAATGAGGTTTCAACGCAGAATCTAGCGTTGTGATTTTTAACACCAGCAGCATCCATGTTCTTTATAAATTTTTTGAACCAGTTTCAATATAAGAATAGGAAATGCAGTTATTAAGAAAAATTAATTTTTTCTATTTTTATGAAGAATTTCTTTTCGGGTGTTTTTTATCCAGTGTTTAAGAATTGTTTTAATCATTTATGCTTTTGAATTATTCTCATATTCAGCAGATAAATTTATGACATTTTTCATGCAACATTTTGATTTGCCTATAAAAAAAGATTTTCTTTTTTCTGTGCCAGTTATGCTGGATTCAGAAATGAACAAATACTCATACTTTGCTCTTTTTTCAACCATTATAATATTTTCTTTCAAAACCCATTGTTTTTAGCATAGTCTCCCATTTCATCAAAAATAAGGATGGCATTTTCTTTTTAATGTTATGTTTTTACTTTGAGAATTTTCTTTCCAATGTGATAGGCTATAATAGAAATAGACCTACATATCAAGTTGAAAACAATATATCATTGTTATGCATCTTATAGTGATGTCTGAAGCAATCTAGTCAGCTTCTGCTTCCCATAAATTCATTTAATCCCAGCCTCTTAACAAATTCCATAATTTTTTTTTTGGGGGGGGGGGATTACGTCTGTTTCTGAAACAACATATTCATGAACAAATCTGAACATTAACAAAATCACTTCTGTGTGATTAAAATCTGAATTTTCTAGTCTTTTCTTGATGATCCTTATGTTTTAAAAATTTTTCTAAAATCTTTTCTTTGGGTTTGCACAAGTATAATGATAGTTATGTTAAGAATACAATATTCCTTTGCATTCTTATTTGGTAAGTTGCGTCTGACTATTTAAAAAAAAAAAAAAAAAAAAAAAAAAAAAAAAAAAAAAAAATTGATTTTAGTTTTCACTACTAAAGAATAAAATTTCAGAGGAGCTATTTTCATGTCTAAATCACCTTTGAAATAGATGAGTCATTTAATTGAATCCTTTTCTGGGTTTCAGCTGCCAGCTAAAAACCACTTACTGTGAAAATTATTAGAAAACCTACATTTCTTCTTGTCGTGACCTATTATGATGCTCTTTTGTGTGGAAGAAAGACAGATTTATGTCAACTTAAGTGGACAGTTCTTTTCTAGTGATGAGTTTTTGAGATTGTCTTTTAGGCTGTATTTGTATATTGTTTAAATTTTTCTCGTTTCTAAATGAAATGTTTCTGTGTAATGTGTTTACAAATTATGAAAATTTTAAGTATGTGAATTTAAATATACTGCAGTTAATTTATATATATATATATATTTCTTCCAGAATTTTAAAAGCAGGTGGAAAACGTCCAATATTGGCTGTGCTCAGTTCAAACCCAGAATATTTAAGTAATCCAAAATACAAGTACAGTGATCTTGCATCTATTTTAGGTGCTGCTGAAGCTTTATATGTGGTAAGTTTTTGTAGCATAAAAAAATTATATGCAAAGTTTTTATTATGTATGTATAAATTTTCATGTAAGGTAGGCTTATGTAATTGTTTTGGAAGAGGAAAAGCCCAAGAATCACCATAATATAAAATATGAACAATTTTTAATTGTTAAAGTTTTTAATGAGTTTGTTATTCAGATTCCAATTATAAATTAATACTTATAATTAATAAAATAATAGCTTTCTACTTATTACTTTGTTGATAATAGTTTGATTGAATATTAACAATTTTGGAAGTTATTCCTGTTTAATATATCTGATATTTTTTAAGCAATCATCTGTAATTTTATCTAGTTTGTATAAATCGAATCTAGGAAAGAAAAATTATCAGTTTTTAAGGTATATTTGTAATACGAAATAGTAGGATATATTTTTTGTAAATTTCACAATAATTCAATCAAGAAATTTTACTGAACTTCTGTTTAAAAAAAGCCTTTGATCTATATTTTTGGTTAACATTATAAATGACAATCAGCAATATAATTCTTCTGTGCTATAATTTTGCTTCTTATTACTTTTTCAGTTTGTGCATATTATATGAGCAGTGAGTGAAGAGATACTTATTTTATCTTTGTAAAATGTTATATGGGTTTCGAGTACAAGCATTTTTAAAATTAACAATTTCAAAATGAAATTTGTTTTTAGGTAAAAAATTAAGTTGACAGTAGTTATAAATATTTTGAGGCAAAGTAAATGAAGTTTTGTTTTTTCCCCTTCTATTTACAAAAATTAAAAATGGTTTGTGCATTAAAAAAGTAATTTTTTCTTATTTTCAGTTTCTTTGTTATTTCATTCTGTTTGTAGCCTCTTGAAATACGAGAAGATGTTCCTGCAAAAGTTAGCAAAGTAGATTTGATTGGTTACAGCTCTTTAGGGAAAGATACAGAAGTTAGCAAGTTACTTCAATTTTCAGTGGGTTTGGAGCTGGGAAGGTAAATATTATTTTTATATAAAAACTTATCATAATAGTATAGTTTGTGGTGTGAAAAGTTTTATTTCAAAAATACTGGTTCAAATAATTTTTTTAAAAATTCATTTGCATTAAAATCGTTTTTTTTAATTAAAAATGTTGATTCTATTAATCATTCTTTTAAATTATACTGTATTAAAATTGTCAAAAATTCGTAATCTGTTAATAATTAGATTTCCTGATGTCTTCTGCATTCAAGAAAATCTATCATTTTTAAACAATTCGCGTGACATTTTATTAAGAAGATGATATGATGAAGGCAATATTGATTATACCCTTCTTAAAATGCATCTGTCAACAAACTTCTACCAGAAGCATATTTTTAACTTGGATCATTAATGGGGCAGCTACCTTAATGGCATCAGCAAGTTATCTAATATTATGAATTTATTGTGCCTTACAGGCCTCAGATATTTTTATCATGACTTATATAAATCCTGTTAAAATTTTATCCCTTTAATATTATTTTCCTATCGTATAATTTAAATAACTAATTTTTTTCTTTCTCCGAGCACTTATTTGGGGTTATAATGACTGCTTTTTCATAATGATTCATTACCAAGTGTTAGTTAAATTCAGTTCCTGATTTTTAAATTTACAGTTCTTTGATTACCATTATCTACTTTCTAGAAGCATATGAATGTAAAGTAATGGCTTATTAACTGCAGTATCTTTGCTATCTAGTTGTTGTTTTTATGCCTCTTTAGAAACTCACTTTTGTTGCCAAGAAGCAAGGTTTGTGCCTGCCATTGGCTTAGGCCTTGACACCTTAAAAGTGACAGTAAGAATTTTCTGAGCTGCATTAAAAAAAAAAAAACTAAGAATCCCTGGAAGTCAAGTTCAAGGGTCTGATATCTTTCTTCCCCTGCTACTAACCTCTCAACACAACTTTTGGCTTGATAGTATTTTAAATGCCTCTATGCCACAAGGGCACTGTGCATTAGGTAACATCTGTGCCTTCTCTCAAATTCAGATGTGAGCGCATGGCTATCACAGCTGGCTTCCCTACTACTGTGCCAACAGGGTCACTCTGTGTTATCTTGACATATGACTCTATGATCACTACTTAGACACTGTGCAAATGTTTTGGAAAATTTATTGTTATTTTTCAGTGAATTAACATGGGTAAGAACCAGGGCCTTTGCACAGTGGTATAAATGCAAAGAATGCCATCGCATAGGGGCCCTTGAATGTCCTGCTGAACAAGATTTATATATTTAAACTTAAAAGACGACGGATTCTTTGATAAATACTATATATGTATAATAGAATTCATCGTCTTTTAACCGTTTGAGTCCCAAGCAGCGCGATCGCACTGTTGAGATTTTATGTCAAGAAAACCCAGTACATTTCGAATATTGTGGACAGCTGACTGTGCACTTGATGTTGATAATGTGGGCACTTGATTTAAATCAAGGACACATCAATGTAAAATAAACAAAGTGCTATCACGCTGTTTGGTATTTCTCAATATAAAATAAAACAAGCGCTGTCACGCTGCTTGTTTCTTTTTGTACTCGTTTAGAGAAAGTGCAGATGCGCTGCTTGGGATTCTTCAATAGTATTTTTCAATTATGACACAGTGATGGGGCCCTTGGAAGCAGATGAAAAAGCTGAATTTAGTGTTACGTACACCAAATCTTCAACTGAATACAGAGCAGAAAAGCTATATGCTCTTATTTTGATTACCTTCTAGAGGAGAGCTTTTAAGCCATTAGTGATTACTGGGGCCAGAATGTTGCTTGGCTTTATTGCGAGAACAAGCCCTTAATTTTTTTAGGCCAGCATGTGACAGAAAGATAGCAAAAATGAAGGACTCTTGAAGTCCCAGAACTCCCACTTTTAGGAAACAATTTTGTATTGTAGCCATGTGTCAACTTGTAAATACAAAAGAGCGAGTTGGCTGAGGGTAGGAATTACTACTTTTCTTGTGCACTGTAGACTTTACACTAATTTTTGCTTTAAAGCTTGGTTATGCAATTAATTTATTTACATAAATCTTACGATAATGGTTTAATCTCGAGTAAAATTTAAAAAAAAAATTAAATCATCTCTTCTCTTCCTTGCTTTTTATTCATGTTTCCTATTTCTTTTATAGTTTTTCACTCTTTTCGTTTGTCAGATTGAAATAGTTTATAACTCTGATGCGCATTAATTTCAATATTAGTTTTCATGTACATTATTTTATGATAATGAAATCTTATTCAAATATTTAAGCAGTATTTGTATTTAATTTTTTGTTTTACTTCAATATATGGTACATTATAAAGTTTATCCCCACAAATGATATGTACATTAATTATTAAATTTTTTTGTTATTTTAAACGTACTTTCATGTGTTAAAGCTTTCCTCTCTTACTTGTGATTTCCTCATCATCGAAGTCTAAGAAAATTTTTTAAATGAAACGTCATGGAGATTCAATATTGACGATTACCATGGAAGGTCAAAGATAAGAAATCTTATTTAAACTAGCAACCTGATAATGTGGCCTCCAGAGGCAGAACACGCTCTGTCTTATAATCTAAAGATCTCATCTTAAATACATGCGAGCTAATTTGCATTCTGGCATGGAAATGGAAAGAAGAAATGACAGTAAAGGTCTAAATCATACTATAATTAGTTAATTAACATAAAAGGAACTCTAGAACTTATCTAAATAGAAAAATAATATAAATTGTGTATTAAATTTATATAAATGTTATTATATAAATTTAATACATAATTTATATTAAATTTATATAAATTATGTATTAAATTTATATTATTATGTCTTCTCTAATCCAATAACTGATAGGTTAAAATGTTTCTAGCAAAAGTTAAAAACTGCAATACAAAATTTAGTGCAGTATAGCTAGGCATTTCTGGAAAACTTAACATTATATTTTGTTTTACAAAGCAAAATTATTTGTGTGTGTATTTTAACAAAAACAAAATGTAATTTAATTCACTTCTAATTTATGACTTGCTAAATTTCAGTTAAATTTTTTATTTACATTTTTGGAAGCGATTTCTAGTCTAGATATTGTTTTCCTTATAGGCTGGCGAACTTGACATACTGTTTGTTCATAAGTCGATTTTATCAAAGGATGAGAGTGCTGTCTATTGACATGCTGGTTAATTTCAAATAAAGAGAGATGTGGTCAATAAGAATACAGCACTCGCAAACATTACTCATAAGAAAAAAAAAAAAAAGTGCAAGAGATGTTCTTATCATATCACAAGCTGTATTGAAAAGAAAAACTGTATTGATCAAATATTAGAAAAATCTGTAAAACATGAAATCAATTTCAATTAATTTTAGAGAGAGTAAATCCAGATGACTTTAGCAAAAAATAACAGTGGTTTTCACAGATACAGAGAAAGTACCTCAGGTACATGCATAGCTAATTTTTTATCTGATGTCAAATTATTGCAGAATACGACATTGTGATGAATGGCATTATAAAATGCTCTCAAGCACTGTTAATACTTGAATCCTGCGACATAAAATGAGTCGATTGTATAAGTAGTAGTTGTTTGAAAACAAAGCTTTTAGATGAAATTAAAATTTCCCTTTTTTATTTCTTTGTACGAAGTAAAGAAAGTATCGTAATTGCGAAAAACTTTGGTTATCATATTTCGACAGATATATCCATTTTGACCGTTTCCAAATCCGTCTGCCCCCCCCCAGCGAATAAGCGGTAAAATGGCTGAGTACTGGTAGTTCGGTCTGAGGTTCAAATTCCCTGAATGGGCTGGCTGCATGGGCCTTCATAGTTTTCCCCATGTATAACGTGTATAAGAGCCAGGTTCCCTTAAAACTTTGCAGAGTTTTCACTAGTGCCAACTCTGATAAGGATCCCAGAACACTATAGAATTTGAAGGCTATGATTTTGATCATATCCCTGTGTTAAATGTTCATATTGTAATGGTTTATATATAAATCTGTTTAGAATTGCATGCCGTGACATTGGTGGTTCAGATCCTGAACGCATGGCAGCACCAAATGTTGCTACATATGTTAAAGAACTTTTTGCTGGTACAAGTATACAGGTGGAAGTGATTGAAAATGAAGCAAAGCTTGCTAAGGAATACCCACTTTTAGCAGCTGTTAATCGTGCAGCAAGAGGTAATTTCATTTCATACCTTCACAATTATTAAATGAAATATATTTTTAAAATAATGTTAGTATGTATGTTTTGCATGAGCTTAATTTTCTCATAACTTATTTATGAAATTTCTTGAATATTTGCTCTAACAGCAATGACATAATTATGACTGAGTGTAATATTTAATAATAAGACTTTTTTTTTTTTTTTTTTTTTTTTTTAAAGGATTAAATTGGTATTTTTAAGATTTATACAGCTGTGCTGATATTGAATCTTGTCATTTTATTTGGAAAGAAATATAATGTATACTCCAAATTTGGGGAAAAAATATAAATTGTTACTGTATAAATCTATGATCATTGATGATGGCTTTATGAAATTACTGAAACTTCATAATAAACTTCTTGAAACTTCTAACAAAGAAGTCTCTTTTTCTCAGAAGCGGATAAGTAGATTTTTTAACATCTAAGATCATCTACTTTGTTTTTAAGTTTTAATCAATTCATACAGATATAATATATATTAAATTTTAATTTTAAAAACTGAATATTAAAAAACTTTCTTACATTTAGGTGTTGAGAGGCATCGTGCTAGAGTAATATTTTTGACGTATGAACCAGAAGGATCTTATGATAAAACACTTGTGTTAGTTGGAAAGGTAATGGATGATAATAATTATTTTATCTTGTTTTATTTTTCATTAGTTACTTCTTGTTAATCCTTCCCTGCCAGATTATTAGATATGACGATCTAATGATCCATAAATGATTTCCTTCTGTTACAAAATTATGAGTGATAGTGAAAAATCTTAATACATTTATAAATAATTGGAACAAAATATACATTAAAAGCCTGACTATGCATCATTTAACTAATTGAAAATTCCAAGTAATCCGAATACTTTTAAATTTTGAAACTTTCTCTTTAAAAAAAAAAAAGTAAATTAGAAACTTATAAATTCATCATAAAGTTTATAGGATTACAACTCAGAACAAATGGAAACTGTCACTAGGTAGAGTGACTTGGTGTCAATAATGAATAAGTGTTATCTCATAATGCAGTCACAAGATCTTTACCTTGTTTATGTAAACCCAAAGGTATCGTGAAGAAGGATTATACACATGAATAAAATTTGGGACCTACCATAAATGAAACGACATATAGTTAAGTATTTACAAAACTATTGGATCTTGGCATCAAGAATGGTGTGTGTTAACGTGCACTATGTGTGACTTTATTTGAAACTGGATAAACAATGGTAATGCAAAGTGAAAAAGTGTATTATTCTATAACTTAGATCTCTTGATTATCTAACTAAATACAGAATAATCAGTTCTTTTAAAACTTCCACCAGAATGATTGGCTTATGTTTAGTGCTAGTCATTGCCAGCTTTCATGGTTGACAAGATGCCATAATTGGGTGACTGAGTTACATAACTGGGTTTTACTTTCATATGTTTAAAACCTGTGAAAATATATCAGCTTTTATGTCTAAAATACATTATTTTTTCAGAATTCATATTCATATTTTCAGAATTGATATTCAAGTCGATAACAAATAACAGGACTGTTTTTATAATTTTAGACAGGAAATTTCTTCTTCCACTTTAGGACCAGAAATTTCTTCCAGTGGGCACACTGTGTTGCTTTATGATTTATGAGTAGCACCGGAAGTTTAATGCGTTGATGAAGTTCGCTGTATGTGGCTTTATACTTTAATTGCACTATATATTTGTTATTCCTGTAATGGAATGGAATAAGTCTTATGGGACTGTTCCAAATAATAATGTGTTTAGCAAAAGCTTACCAAGTCATTGGAATTGAGTTTAAAGGCAGAAAAGCAAGGCATGGATTTTTTTATTTAAGTGTCTTTTTGAAATGGTTACAATTAAACTTTCACAATTTATTAGTCCTCCCCAGAGGTGAGTTATAGGGAATGTTGGATTTCTTTATTTCATCTTTTCTATGTTCTAAGTCAATGGGATAATGGATAGGCAGATACACCATATGGCTTTATTTTAATTAAATAATTTAATGCAAATAAGAAAGTGGTGGATGGAAAACTGAAAATCAGACATATTTTGATGTATCGCATTATTCAATGTGTACTCCAATACCTTAAGATTTTACATAAGATGGTACCTATGTCTTACATTTGAACTGAAAAGAAAGTCATACAGCTGTTTTTAAAATATTTCTGTAGTGTTATGAAGCTGAAAATAAGAACTTTTTATATTGAATAGTTATCCATTGGGAATATTAGATTCACTACTTTAAGCCAAGAATTAAGTGAGCAGCTAAGGATGTCATCATATAATACCATATAAAGCAAAGATATTTCCATGCATCTCTGTCAGTTGACATTTTGATGCTTAGGTTCTTTAAAAGCCTACTTCTGGAGCATAACATATTCAGGAAACTAGTAATTAATGGTGAATCCTGTTGTGTTCTGCTTTGGAACCATTAGAAACTTAAATCAGATTTTAATTTGGCAGTATGCTCCATTTAGGTATAATAAAGAAACACACCTGTATACAGTTACTGTAATTCAAAAGAAATTCAGGGACCTTGCATTTGGATTGAATTTTGTATTTTTCATATTCACCATGCATAACATTGGGTGATGGCTATGGATGTGATTACAATCTTTTTTATGTGCAATTAATTAATAAAAAAGTATAAAGGTTACTTTTTGGCACTCTTTCATAATACTATTTTAAAAAACGTATTTCTGATGGAATCTTATTCTGCCTTGTGTGTATGAACTCATTAATATCTATATATATTTATACATATATATTAATGAGCACATGTGTGCCATATAAAACATTTGCTTGCAGAGGGAAAAAAAATAATAATTTAAACAAGATTGCTATTAGAAACATTTTTAACAGTCTCTCAAAAATTTTTGGACTGTTATGTTAGATTATGATGTATTTATCATCCACATGACTTTCCATTGTGCAAAACATAAGATTTTTATCTTTTGCTTGGCCTGCTGAATAAATAGTTTCCAGAATGTTATCATTTGAATAACCGAGTGGTAATTGTTGCTTAGTAAGTTGACTGCCTTGCAGCTAATAAATGCACTTTTTGATAATTTTTTTAAATCTTAAATCTCTTATTTTTAATGAAAATCCTATATATTATGCAGTTGATGGAAAATCATTTGGTTATTTTCATTATACTTTAGTACAAAATAATAGAAATTGACTCATTTCCATCAGTTCCATACAAATTTTCAAAAATGAAGTGTAATAACTGCTTGTATTGTACAGAAATGATTGACGCTGAAAATCACTTTGCCAAGTTTTTCGACGATAAACCACAGTTCTGCACTGATGAAATTATAAAACTACCCAAAAAGTGGCAAAAGGTTATAGATAATAAGGGTGAATATGTACTTCATTAAAATTGATTTTCAATAAAGAATATTTTTGTTCAAAAATGTACCAAAAACATGCAGATACTTTTTATATGGCCCAATATATTTCTTTCTTAAAATAACTATCATTGCTTAGTTGGCAAATTTAATTGCCAAATTTATAATGTACAAATTTCAAATATTAGCCACTTTACAAGGAAGTACCCATTATCCTTAGCATATTTCTTCCCCACTTGAATTAGTTGCACAGTAATCTAAAATAAATATTGTATGATTTAGGTGTGAGAATGGAATGAAAGCAATGAATCTTTAAGAAATGTAAGAGATACAGTGTATAAAAACTGAGATCCAATTACCTGTATGTGCATGTTGTTGTTGTGTGTGTATATGAAGCTGTGGCAGATATAGATAAGCAAGCAGATATGTATACAGTCTGGCTAAAACGTTTTAGGACCAAGCTAAAAAAAAAGTGCTATATTTTTTTTAAACCAGTTATTCTACTTATAACTCTTGTAAAGTTATATATCAATTGGTGGAATCCGCAATATCATTTTTGAATTGCAGGCAATTCATCACTGTGACAAATTTTTAAAAAGTCTATTGCGAAACCTTACAAGCCACTATTTGATCATCCTTTTCGTTCTGTAGTTAATGAATACAGAACAAAATGTGCACACAATTTTCTTTTTCTTAAAATATCAGCAGTTATTGTATGGACAGTTTCTTTAACAATGTTTAAATGTTCTGCAAGCATCCTAATCATTAACCCATGATCTTAACGCAATATGAACAGCTGTGATATTCGGTAAGTTTGGCTTGTGCGAGGCAGGATGTCCCATTCTTTCGTCATCTTTTACGTCATCTCTGACATCTCAAAATCTACCTAACCACAAAAATACATTGGAAAATGACAAACACTAGCTGCTCAACTCATCTTAGGTGATTAGCAGACTAGAATCAAAGTGTTTTTTTACTACAGTTCCATTTGTTATAAACAGATAGCACTATTCAGACAGTTAACATTCAATCAGTCTTAAAACTTTTTAGCCAGACCTTGTGTATGTGTGTGCATATATATATCTAATGATTTTTAAAAAAACCGAGAAGACCTTTAAATGACCGAGAAGACCATAGTGGCTTGAAGGTGGCAGAGTGAAAAGCATGATGATGCAATTTAGCACAACGTATCTTGAAAAATAACTATCTTTATTTTTTTTTACGTATATCAAATCATCCTTTTTTCAGTCAAGATGTTTCCTAATTATATTTGAATACAGTAAGTTGCATTTTGAAGTACGACGTTGTTTTAAGAATGTAAGCGGCAGTAGCATGGATAAAAATCATCTTGCCAGTAGGAGAGCTTATGCCAAAGAGGGACGGATATAATAGAACTTCAGAAGAAGAAGGGTGGGAGTCGGAAAAGTTTCAGTTCAGAGTTTTGGTTTACAATTAATTTGATTGGTCAAGAGGCATCTGCATTAAAACGTTACGTAAGATAGAAAAAACTGGAACCTGTGAGAAGAGATGAATTTAGGGGCAGATTACCAAATTTAGAATGTTAATTTTGAGGTCGCCAATTATTTTTTTGAAACAGCTATCATATTTTGTTATATTTCACATATCCCCCCTTCAAAAGAAAGGTTGTGTGAGCAGGGTGGAAGAAAAAGCCTTAGAGCAGCAAAATGTGAAAGACATAATTTGGAAAATACAAAACAAATTAACTTTTAAACAAAAAATTGTCATAAAAGTTTGACCGATACTTTGACATTTCACTGGAAGTCATAAAATTTTGAATTCAATAAATAATTTTAGCTCTGTATTCTTTTAAAACAATTGCATATTTTAGAGTCCTGAAATAAAAATGTCCAATGAAATTTTGTAAAGTTCTTAATAGTTCCACACGGTTCAAATTTTTTCACAAAGTAAATAAAAATAAAAGTCTAAAATAAATAAAAGTAAAAATAATAAATAAAAGTAAAATAAATAAAAGTTTAAATAAAAGTCTTTCCAATTTTTGTTGATGAAAATATTTCTATTATAATACAAATTAAGATGTTGACTTTCATGTTATTTGTTAGAATTTTCATAATTATGTTTTTTAAGGAAGGCATTTTAAAATATGAAAATTTTGTAACACATCATTCATAAACACAACAAATTTTAAACTTTTCATTATTATTAAGACATTTAAAATTTACTTATTCTTTACAAAACTTGAAGACTCCATAACTTTCTCTAAATACCAGCATATCCATCATATTGGTTTATCAGTTGAGCAAACTGGTGTTTATTCTTCACCAGTGGCCAAAAGATTTGCCAAGTTAGCAGTTACTGTAGAAAAGGCCTCCGTTCCTTCTATAGAGGCAACTGGCCTTTTCGAACTGCTGTCATTTCATTGTAAAAATTAAAAACACACTCCATTTTATGAAAAAAATACATAATTTAATAAAAAGGTAATTTTTCATAATGTGAGAGCCTTCAACATTAAATTCTTGAAAACATTAAAGAAATACCTGCAACTCAAAAATTTCAAACAATAATTCATTCTCAACATACAGTAAAAATTAAAAAATATAAATTCATAGAAACTTAAACAATAGTACAAAATTCTTATTAGGATTAGAAGCCTTCCCTAAGTAAAAACGTCAAATTCTTTACCTAATTTTTGTCAAATTCAATAATTTTCCCAATTCAGAAATACAAAACTACATTTTAAATAAATTATAAAATTTTTGAATTTTTAACTTTGATCTTAAAATGATTTAAGCAAAATATTACCATCAATAAATCATAAAACAATAACTTAAAAATGCAAAGTTTTTTTTAATTCGTAATTTACTCAATTTGGAACTATCACTACCACTTCACTATCTATCACATTTGATGACTTTGATAATATTACACCGCCCACCAGCAGCCGAGCGGTAAAGTCGCTGAACACTGGTAGTTCGGTCCGAGGTTCGAATCCCATGAATGGGCTGACTGCATGGGCGTTTTCATGTTTTTCCCCATGTGTAATGTGTATGCAAGCCAGTTTCCCTTAGAAAGTCCTCCACGAAGGCATCCCTCACCATAGGCAGATAGCCCTCGAGGCTTTGCCATAATCACACACACACACATTGATCATATTGCATTCTTTGAATATGAAGATTTTGCTGAATAAAGCACTGAACATGCAAAGGAGCACAAAATAGTATTAGGCATTTCGTATTTCACTGATGAGGTTGATGACCTTCTAAGCACTTTGGATGTTAAATTTTCATTTTATGCGATGATTGGAAATGCATAAACATTGTGAACATTCAAAGCGAGCAAAAACCATTAAACATATTTCTTCGAAACACGTTTGATTTTTGAACTTTTGAGGATTTTCAAAGCAATTTTTGAATATGCCGTTAAATCGCACACCAGAAACAAATTTGATGATTCACTGGTAGTTTGAAGCAGCAGAGTTCAAAATCCATTGGGGAAAACTTGCACCAGATTAATCCTGTCTTGACTTTTTATAAATACCATATCTTTTATATGTTTACACATTTTTTAATTATTTTAACTTTAAATTTGCTTTTCACGTATATACATATTTGTTAAAATATATATATATATGTATATATATATATGCACACTTAGAAGAGTGATCTTTATGCTGAAAATTTGGCTAGATTCTATGTAGTTTTCTTAGTGTAGTTGTATTGTATGTTATTTGTACTTATCGATTTTTATTAAGTTTAATGATTATTCCTGGATAACAAATTTTTACACATTATTAAATTATTATTTATATTCTAGGGCATTACATATGATACTGGAGGTGCTGATATTAAAGCTAATGGTGTAATGGCAGGTATGCATAGAGATAAATGTGGCGCTGCTGCCGTTGCGGGATTTTTCCAGGTATGTTATTCCTTTGTCATTTGTTATTTTTAAATTTATTTTATTTTCAGATAAAATTTTTAAAATATTTTTTGTTAAATTTAAAATTGTGGCATTTATATATTATCCCATTGACTGCAAAAGTGTTGAAGCAATATGATGTAATGCCAGTTATGGGTAAGCATGACATAACGACTCACTCATAATATCTGCACATTTGTTTGATGTAATCCTAATTGATTCTGAATAAGTTGCCTTTTATTTTTATGAACAAGGATATAAATTTAACTATTACTGTTGTATATTTTCCTTGCATTTTAGAAAAAGGTTAAATTCTGAGACCTGTCTTCTACAAAACAGCAAGCAGGGAATTTCTTTCAAAATGACAGAATCCTGTCATCAAAAATAGTCTGTATTAATAGATGCAGTATGGGGCTTTTTTTATTTAATGAATAAACAATTGTGGTGCAACAGACAGTTTCTTCACCACAATTTTCAGCACTTCATTTCTCTTATCGCAGATCAAAAAAATTAACATCTGTTAAATGGAGGGAAAGAACAGCTGGATATGGCTAACAAAACAGTAATAAATTAAAAAAGGTTAACTGCAGGAAGTTTGTATTCATAGCTTTCTAAACAGAGTTTCTAGCAAAATCAGAGTCTAACAGAATGTACTGGTTTCCAAAAGTTAAGCATGTGACAGTAAAATCAACATAAATGGAAAATTAAAGCTTTGATTAACATCAAATTGTGCATAATGGTAGCAAATGTGTTTATACATGGAAAAAAAATGGCTAATATGTACAAAGAGGAATGCAATATTTAATTTCTGTATATTATACGATGAGTTTACATTTGGATCATTAAAAAAAATTTTTTTTAAAGGTAAGCAAACAAAACTTACATTAATAAGGTATATGACTGAACCAAACCTTCACATAAATTTTATAATAGTTGTCCATGCTTTCAATGAGCTGATTGATTGATCATGGCAGATGCTAGCTATGTCCATTCTTCCATTAAGGCAGTTCCCAACTGTGTAATGCTGGGAGGAGATAAATGTGCAGAAATAGTACCCCGAGGGCATTCCAGTAATTTTCAGTGGGATTAAAGTTTGGAGGAATATGGCAGCCACTCCATACAAGAGATGTTCTCACTTGTTAATAACTTTGGTTGATGGTAATGGCATTATCATCTAAATGAAAGGAGGAAATCAGAGCTAGCTGCTGTAGCATAGTATTACAGTGAGGTCAGTTGGAAATAGGGTCAGTTTGAATGCCTAGCAGGCATTCAGACCACATTCTCACAATGAGGTATATAATTTCATCTCAAAACCATACAGCCATTCCAGCCTGCACTATGATGCTGCTACTTCTGAATGCATGATGTTCGATTATATTCTGACTCCTATTCCATGCACCTCATTCTCTCCCACACCATTTTATGCTTTAACATGTGATTCCAGGATAAATTTGGACTCATCTGTGACCAGGGCATTACACCAAATGAGGTAGTCCAAGTGAGGTGTTGATGACATCACTTTAATCTTGCCCCTCTGGTTTGGACAGTTAGGGTAACGCAAAATACATAGCACTCAGGTTTAAAGACCCTTCATGTGAAGCTTTCGGTGCATTGTACTAGCAGATATTGTCTTACCAGTGACGTTAAAACCATGGATGTAACAGTTACAGAGGTTGCTCATTGATCCCACTTGGTTACTATAACAATATACAGATCTTCAAGAGGGGTGGTAACTCTTGGTTGACCAGACACAGGCCTAAGGACATCTGATTATTTTGGAATTGTTTCCACATTAAAAAAATGATCGTATTATCAACAGCGAAGAAAAGAGCTATGTCTGATTGCTGGCCTACTTTTGCATTGTTTGCCATTAGTCTTCCTTCAACCATAAAAACATGAATATCATCAAAAAATGTTCTAGGAAAATTATAAATACATATCAACACCCTCCATAATACTGGCATTTTCAATGATTACTTAATTAGCATAGTTCATATAGTCGATCATGATTGGCTGTAATGTATGATATTTGCATACTGCCATCAGCATCAGTGGCAGCTCGTAGCTAAAATTAGTGGGGGTGCTGTTCCAAAAGAATTTAATCTTTGTTTTAAAATTGTGTAAAAGGAAACAAACATGTATAAAAAGAAAATTTATTTTTAAACATCATGAAAGCTTACGAGAAAAAATTAAACATTTCTTAATTACTTTAACCCAAACTGTTACAGTTCAATCTATATTTATTTAAAAAGGAAATCAATTTTTCTTGTTTTAATTTGCACGAAAAGATCAATAATTTTCTCCTTGATCTCTGAATGACAACTGAGGAAATTTTTCTTTATTGAAAGCAATGCAAGCGCATTTAGTCTTTCCGAATTCCTATTGCTTCTTAGAAAAGTTTTCATTCTTTTCAATGTTAAAAAGCAGCATTCTGCCTCTGATGTAGTCATGGGAACTCTCAAGAGAATTTTTATCAGTTTCGTAATTTCACTAAGAACATCATCTAGATTATTTTCAAAGATAAATGTCAGTAGCTCAATTAATTTGTAATATTCATGGATATCAGACATACAATAGAATACTTTTAGTTCAGTTTCAAGCTTTTCTTTGTCAATCATTGGATATGCTTCAGTGGTCAGTACTATTTCTTCTGAAGAATGTTCATTCCTAAAACTAGCAAAGCATTTCTTGTTAAACAATTTAGCAGCTGCTAAGTGTTTAATGGAAGAATATGTGCATTATATCAATACATAGTATAAAATCACATATTTCCTTAGCTTCTGCCATCAGTGTCTTTGAAAAATAGTCTCAGTACTTTGAGTTTCTTAATTCTAAAACAGCAGCTTTGAAATTTGTTGTATATTCATTAACTTTAAACAGACTAATTTCTCTGGATTGCATTTAGTTGCATATTATTTCAACATGAGGCATAATCTGATAAAAAAGCGCTAACCAAAACTTGAAATTATCATCATTTAGATATTTTAAAATTCTTGTTGCTTTTGCAATAGTTTGATCTACATTTGATGTTGATTGAATTTCAGTAAGGCAATTTTTTAAAGATTGCAAATTTTCATGAACTCTATTTATGGTTCGTATGATGAAGTTCCACCTTGTGGAGGAATATGACAGGCGTGGAGTAAAAAGAAATCACGCTCCCAACAACACGCCAGAATTTCCGTACTGCAAGAACGACAGTGCTTTCTCTCTTCCTGGCTCGGTGTGCTGCTTTCTGTGTGCGCATGCGCAGAACAGCCAAATACCATGTCGCTGGAACTATGAAGCGCGCAGTTCCAAACAAAGACTTTTGCACCTTTTTCACAAACTGGGGGAGGGCTACTGACATTAAGCTTAAGGATTATGTATTGTAAAAGGATAAAGAAAGAATTAAAGACTAAAGGGCACACTATTTTAAATATTAAAAATGATAATAAGTGGAAATAGATGGTGCTGCAGTTCCACAGTGCTTATTACGAGGCGCCACTGATCAGCATCATCAATTTACAGTCACTGAAATTCAACTATGCTTTTGAAAATTGCTAATTTGCATTTTGCGCTAGACCAGTGCTTTTGAAAGCTTTTTATGAAGCACAAGATTGAAGTCGGTTAAATACATAAGTGGGAAAATGTTATAAAGAGGGAAAAATTAAGTTTCATGGAAAATTCATTATTTCTTCTCAAAATTATTCTTAACTTTCTTATGATTTTAAAAAATTATATTGTTTATCATGTTTTCTAATATAAAGTTTGTTTTTCAAATAAAGTCTCTGAAAATGTGGATAATTTTTATTTTTAAAAATTCTTTATTTTAGTGCTATATTTTTTACATGCAATTACGTAAATTCTTTAATTTAATTTATATTTTATTTGTCTCATGTCATCAAAAAGGTATGCTATTATTTTTTTGAATTCTGATAGCAGTAATTGTTATTTAATGTAAAACTGTTATTCAATTTTAATATTTTAATGTTATTAAGTAAATACTTTCTTAAAAAGGATTATAATTCATTCCGGTTTATAGTATTGTTTTATTCCTATAAAGCTAGTAAAATATTTAATTGATGAATATTTGATATCAAGATTAAGCTGAAGTTATTAAAATTTTACACTTTTTAGACATTAGCAGCACTGAAGCCAAAAAACATAAAAGTTCTTGGTGCTATGTCTATGGTTCGAAATAGTGTGGGTTCTGGTAAGTGATGAAATATAGTTATTTTAATGTAAGTTAAAAAACCATGTATTTTCTGTCACAAGCATATAATATTAAACAATTGTTTTATAAATGATGCTTCATTATTGATGTTAACTTTTCATTATTCTGCGATAAAATCAAAAGGTTGAACAGTTTAAACTACTTCATAAAATTTGGTTTTTAAGTTTTACACTTAAAATTCCATATGCATGACTGTAGTCCTGTTATGAGAATGTTTTGTCAAGTATTCATAACACTTAAAAAATTCATCAAATTTGTACATAAAATTTTTTTAAGCTATGCCAGACCTCAGCTTTTCAGCTATTTGTGTCATTCAGGCAGCCCAATAAAGTCTTGTGAGAAATAAAATGTTAACTTCTTCTGTAGAATTATTGCCTACAGTGTCATAAGGTCAGTCATGTTATAGAGATGGTCGTTAGTCATATCACTTGGCTACCTAACAGACACATTGGTGAGTTTACCAATCCCAGGGAGCATCTATGAGGGAAATGTTTTTGCAAATGGCCATGGGCAGTTCTGAAACAAAAATTTGTTACACCCACAGCTCTAGAAAGCTGTGGAAGGGATGTTTTCAATAAGGAACATGTGGACTTCTTACCAGACAGTTCTTCAAAGAGGTTTTGCTGATATAGACTGATACTTGATTTAATAAGTCTGTTTAGAGTAACAAAATTATGTGGTTGAGGAAGTCAAAATCAGCCTCCATAAAGCCATCTTCTAGGTCATTTCCAATGATGCTACAATTCCTGGGGATCTATTGTAATGTGTTGTATATTTTCCAAAAGAGAGTCAAGAGCAGTCTGTCATTCGTGAAGCAGTTTATTTTATATCTTATAGTAATACTTTTTTTACTAGGTTTTCTAGCGATTTCATAAGTTTTCATTTGTTCGTCAGCAAGATCAACTCTTCCCATATTTTTGTTGTAGTCAGCGATAACTTCCGGTTTTGATATCGTTTTCCTTCGTTTTTCTATTTCTACAAATTTATTGTTGTGGATAGTACTCAATATAATTACATCCTTTTTGTTTTTACACTTCATAATCATTATTTTGTCTCTGTACCTAGCAATATGTTCATCTTTTTTCAAAACACAATTTTTGATATCAGATGGTATTTATTCCCTTTCAATTTTTTTGCATTGTTCCTACAACATCGGTTTTTCTTCTGCACATCTTCTCAGCTAGATCAGTACTAGTATACCAATTATCGAGATATAGCATATTTCCCTTATCCAACAAATCGTGGCACAATTCAAGAACAATACGATTTGGTCCCTGTTCTTCTGGATAGTTCGAACCATACTGCCTTGTTTACCTGTATATATAAGGAAATCACTTATGTATCCGGATTTACTTTCACATATCTTATACAATTTAACACCAAATCGACTTCTTTTCAATAGAATGTACTGTTTCCAAGACAGTCTTCCTTTCCATAGCAAAAGAGACTCATCTACAGATATTTCCTTATCTGGTACGTATAACACCTTGAATTTGTTTCTCGAATAGTTCAAAATGGAATCGATTTTGTAGGTTTTTTTGTTGCACACTTTTAGATCGAAAGCATTGTTATCACTAAAATCTAAAAATTTTACTAACAGTTGGAATTTTTTTTCTGACATAATTTTATAAAAAAATGGAGTCTCCAGACTTTCTCGCTTTGTGAAATAAAGCTGATAAGAAGGTTTTCCTATTATTCCTTGCAAAATTATTAAAAAAATAAATACTCTCATCTCGGTCATCTGTGTCAACTGACGAGAGTCATCTTGAACGCGGTTTTATGGAAGTATTTTTTTTCAAAAAGCTGTCCGTCGTATTCGTTTGATTGTTTCACAATAAGTTCTACAAAATTCTCATTGATAAATTTCTCGAAATAAAGGCAATCCTTTTCTTCAGGTCCTTCAAATGTAAGTCTAAATTGAGATAAAAACGGGAAAGGCGATCGCATCCCGAGCAATATTTCATCATCACTTTCAGACAATTCGAAAATATTTTCTGCTTCACAATAATTTTTAGCCATATTTATAAAAAACTAACAATTACTCAAATCAACAAGTTATTACTAATATGCAAAATACTGAAATGCAGACTAAAATGAAATTAAATTGTGCAAATTAGGAATGTTATCACAATTTATGAGCGGACAAGTGTTTCCATTGATCGATTTTTCTTGAATAATGGTCAAGTGACAGATTGCAAAAAAATGTAAGAAAAATTTCGTCATGCCCATTGAAATAGTCTTCCCAGCATTACAAAAAATTTCGTCATACTCATTGAAATAGTCTTCCCAGCATGACGAAAAATTTCGTCATACCCATTGAAATAGTCTTCCCAGCATGACAAAAAATTTCGTCATACCCAGTTAACAGATTATGGGTGGCTTGTCTTTTACAGAGCTCAGTGCTGTCAGATATTTGTCTAATAGATTTTACTCTGCATTAAGTTCCATCTTGTTTTTCTTTAAAGCAATGCACTTCATCAATCCAAAATGGGAAAGTTTTCACTTGTCCTCTAGGAATGCACATTTGTGCATACACTATGATTTCAGTAAAATTCCCAATGATCCTTTTAGTAATATCAGATGTAAAGAAGTTCATCATAAAAATCTGTCAATTGTTGATATTCAGTCCAGTTTGCTTTTCTTAAGTTTCAGTGAGGAAATCTCAACTCTGTAGGTCTGCTCTATCTTACATGTAATAAAGTCAGAAACAATTTTTTTCTACTTCATCAGGGACAAGTAAACAAACATTGAAAGTATAGTTCAAAAAATTAGTGTGCACCACCAAAAGGCCATTATGAGAAGCCATTTCTCCATAGGAGTTCTCTCCTATGGAGTTAAGAGTCTGTCTATGTTTTGAGCAAACCTCCACCTAAGCAGACTGAATGATATTTTCAATAATATAACCAGTTGGTTTGATGGTTCCAACAAATAATGTATTATGGAAGAACTGTTGTTAATCTTAGAATGTATTACTGCAGATGCACTACTAATAGGAAATAGGAAACTAAAACACTAAATAGAAATGTAGCCATTAATAATTTGTAAAACATCCAGACAATAAAAAAAGTAAAATTAGTGATTAAATAAAATTTGATAACTGTTATTACTAAAATGCCATTGATTAAATCTTATTATGCAGAATGTTATGTGTCTGATGAACTGATAACTGCACGATCTGGAGTACGAGTTCGAGTTGGGAATACAGATGCCGAGGGGAGAATGGTTATGGCTGATGTCCTGTGCCACATGAAAGAAAAGGTGTGTACTTTTTATTGACTAAAAGTAAAAACTGATTTCAATGCCTTCTTAAAATGTAAAAACAGTGTTGTATTTATTTTGAAATGTAGCATAAAAATTTGTCTTCCTAAAAATCTGGTTACTTCTAACAAAACATATAAATTATTATCTGAAAGTTCTTTTATTTGGTGTTAATTTGAATTAAAAGAGTGTTTTAGTGTATCTTAAAAGGAACAAAAGCTTTATCTTCTTTTTTGAGAAATTAGTCTACTTTAAGAATTTCTTCTTGGCATCCTTTAAATCCTATCTCTCCCTGCTTTTTTTTTGGGGGGGGCAAGGTAGCATTAAAGCCAAATAAATGTAGAATGTTTAGAATTTTTTTCCTGTCTCCTTCTTATTTGGCTTTTTTTTTTTTTTTTTTTTTTTTTTTTTTTTTTTTTTTTTAGAGGGAGGGAGAGAAGAGATCTAATTTCACATTCTGTAAAAGCTTTTCAGGGTTCTAAACTACCATATTTTAATCATTAAATAAATACTTCAGTTATCCAGATCATTTGTTCTTTAAATGAAGTAAAACTGAGCTTTTTGTTAATAATTCTTGCATAAAAATTTATTTGGTTTAAATAATATTGAAAAATAATATACAAGGTGTGTCTGAAAAGTTCGGTGTATGGTCTCAGAAAATAAAGGACACAAACAAAATACCTTTACTGGCCTTCAAAGTAATCACCATTAGCACACTTCTGACATCAGTTGTAAAGCTGTTGTAAACTGTCAGCAAATGCTTCCTGTGCAATATCTGGAAGCATTGTGGTCATGTGTTGTTGGACATATGTGCAACTAAGTCTTTCAGGGCTACATGAAGGCAGAGGAACAAAAAGAAGTCACAGCACCAAATCTGGAGAATAAGAAGGGTGCTGCAGAGAATTACAGCTCCATCCGAGTTTGTTTCTGCTCGTGTGTCAGGGTGTGCGGTACAAATGGGCACAAATCTTCTGCTTTTTCAAATGTTCATAAACAATAGTATGTACACACTGCTTATCTTAAACTTTTCTGCCATCATTCTCAAAGACAGCCATTGATCATCCGCACTTCTTCGATGTTATCTGGGATTGGGCTTGTTGATGGTTGTTCTGAAAGCATTTTAAGCATTTAAACCAATTAAACGTACCCTTTTTACTCAATGCTTCAACACCATACACTTGCATTAACATTTCATGAGTTTCCATTGCAGTTTTTCCTAATTTGAAGTAAAACTTCATGTTAAAACAACATGCTGCATTTTGCAATGACACAAGTTCTCACACTGACTCTATTAGCTTAGTCGCAGTATGCACGACTGCTTCACTTCATTGATTTGCACAATAGGGGTCACTTGCTGGCACAATGTGTATGCACAGGCATCTTGTCCTAACCAGTGCGGTTTTTAACATATGGAAGCATTCACCATATTTTTTAGATGCATCTTGTAGTTCAAAACACATTTTTTAAGTAATTGTTGAATAAGTTATATGAATATGCAAGTCATGGAAACTGGGCTACAATGTGTATTTGGAAAGTACTGAGCCTGTAAATGGAAAAGCACTTCTAAAGCATAATAGTCTTTCTTTGTTTACTATATGAATCATAACTCAGTCTTAGAATGCTCTTTACCTGAAAATAGTTTAATTCTGAATCCCAGGATCTCAGAAGTATGAGATTAGTACATTTCGTGACAGCAGACAGAAATCTCACTTATGAGTTTGCTAGTGGGAGGTTTGCTGGTACATTCTAATTGAACTAAAGAAAAGAAAGATAATTTAAACCATTTAACTGAGATTATGAATGTTTTTAACATATTTAGAATGGAAAGAATTAAAAATAAAAATGGTATTATTCAGTACTATATCAAACATAGTTTAGCGATTTTAATCAAATAAGTTTAAAAAAATCACTAAAAAAAGTCTTAATTCTATGTGATGAAGATGGCCTTCTTATTTTTTTTAATTAATAAATGAAAGTTTTAGAATATTTAAAATAAAAGCTTGCAAACACCTTTTTAAAAAGTGTGATAAGTTAGTTTGTTATTTGATCACTGCCCTGTAATGGTTCACTACTTCAGTGGTCTCAAACCATTAAAAAGTAACTTGAATAATGCATCATAAAATCTATAAATAGAGCTAACTAATTTACAGTGTTTATAATTTACAGTATTATATAAATCTAATTTAAAAATTTAAAATCAACTTTTATTCATGCTTTTCAAAAAATATATCAGTTAAGAATTTTTGCACTAAGTATAATCTGTTTATTCAAAAACAACATGTGAACAGCTTTTTTTCACAATTGAAAATTAATAAGAAAAAGTCCAATTGATCAACTGAGCACATTCAGTCCATGATGAAGATAATTTCTAATAATTACTCTTCAGGGCTACAAACTTTATCAAAACCAAAATGCCATCAAGTGTCATGCTGTCATAAGAAATTGAAGTTTATAATTATTTACCTACAAATATATGTATTTTTATTTATACATCGAAGACAAATTTAATAAATAAGATAAATAGACTTAAGTTATCATTATTTATTCTCATGTTTTGCCCTACTTGGAAACTTTTCTCTGAAAAGTTAAAGTTTTTGTAACTTCTTTAAGTTTAAATTAAAGTGAGTTATTTACTAATGAATAAACATGTTAGAACTACTTTAAATCAATTTTAATCTGAAAATTGACTATTTAGCTATTAATATATTTGAATTATTTAAAAATTGACTAAATTGATTTGATTGAAAATTGACTATTTAGCTATTAATACCAATAAGCAATTATCAAACTTATTCAGATTTTGGATAGAAAATAAATGTAAGTTGTAATTTTTTTTCTTTTCAATATTATTATTTGTGTTTTGAAAAATACTTAATAAGTGAAATTAAAATTTTCTTTAAAATATTTTTTATTTTGTTGTTAAAAATTTTTAAGTTTTGTTAATTATTAAAAATTTGTTAAAACATTTCTTGCATGTCAGCTATTTTTATATTGTGTATGCTGCTTATGGACAGTTTGAGACCACTGCACGTCTTAATAAAAAAATATTTTGCAAGCAAATGACTGCAGTGGAATGGTAGACATCCATAACTTTGTTAGCTATTTATGTCACAACAGGTGCAGTTCATATACGAGTTAGTATATGCTATCAAACGCATTAAAAGAACTAAGCTCCTGTAAATGTTTTATGTCGAATAAGACACAAATAAGCCTCACTCACCAATTAGATGCAAATTACAGACAAGAACTAATGTGTGTAACATATATCAGTGAATGTCATAATACAATAAAATTCCTTGTGTTTTTAAGGAAGCTATTTCTTTTCATCTATGTTTCTCTTCTACATTTTTGCAGTTTACTTGCTGAAATGGCAGTATAAAAGTGATAATTTGGAAATCTGTGATTAACCATTGTATTCGGTCTAGAAAAAGAATGATTATAAAAAGCACAAATTTTTAAGCAGCTAAAATTTTTACATTAAGTCCATAATTTTGAACAGGAATCAGTGGCGGCTCGTAATAAGCACTGTGGAACTGCAGCACCCCATTTCCACTTATTATTGTTTTTGATATTTAATATAGTGTTCTTTTTAGTCTTTAATTCTTTCTTTATACTTTTACAATACATAATCCTTAAGCTTAATGTCAGTAGCCATTCCCCACTCTGTGCAAAAAGTTTTTGTTTGGAACTGCGCACTTGACAGTTCTAGTGGCGTGGTGTTTTGCTATTCTGCGCATGTGTATACAGAAAGCAATATGCGAACCGGGTAGAGAGAAGAGCACTGTCTCTCTTGCAGTGCCAAAATTCTGGCATGTTGTTGGAAACGTGATTTCTTTTTACTCCGCGCATGTGGTATTCCTCCACAAGATGAAACTTCATCATACGGACCATAAACAGAGTTCATGAAAATTTGCAACCTTTAAAAAATTGCCTTACTGAAATTCAATCAACATCAAATGCAGATCAGACTATTGCAAAAGCAACAGGAATTTAAAATATCTAAATGATGATAATTTCAAGTTTTGGTTAGAGCTTTTTTATCAGATGCCTCATGTTGAAATAATATACAACTAAATGCAATCCAGAGAAATTAATGTATTTAAAGTTAATGAATATATATCAAATTTCAAAACTGCTATTTTAGAATTAAGAAGCTCAAAGTATTGTGAGAATTTTTCAAAGACACTGATGGCAGAAGCTAAGGAAATATGTGACTTTATACTATGTATTGATATAATGCACATATTCTTCCATTAAACACTTAGAAGCTGCTAAATTATTTAACAAGAAATGCTTTGCTACTTTTAGGAATGAACATTCTTCAGAAGAAATAGTACTGACCACTGAAGCATATCGAACGATTGACAAAGAAAGACTTAAAACTGAACTAAAAGTATTCTGTTGTAGGTCTGATATCCGTGAATACTGCAAATTAATTGAGCTACTGGAATTTATCTTCGAAAATAAGCCAGGTGGTGTTCTTAGTGAAATTACGAAACTGATAAAAATTCTCTTGAGAGTTCCCATGACTACATCAGAGGCAAAACGCTGCTTTTCAACATTGAAAAGAATGAAAACTTTTCTAAGAAGCACTAGGAATTTGGAAACACTAAATGCGCTTGCATTATTTTCAATAGCAAAAAATTTCCAAAAGTTGTTATCCAGAGATCAAGGAGAAAATTATTGATTTTTTCTTGCAAATTAAAACAAGAAGAATGGATTTCATTTTTAAATGAATAGATAAAAATTAAACTGTAACAATTTTGGTTAAAGTCATTAAGAAATGTTTAATTTTTTTCTTGTAAGATTTTATGAAGTTTCAAAATAAATTTTCTTTTTATGCATGTTTGTTTCCTTTTACACAATTTTAAGACAAAGGTTAAATAGGTTAAATTTTTTTGGAACAGCACCCTCATTAATTTTAGCGACGAGCCGCCAATGATGGGAACCAAGCAAAGATAGTTTCATTAACAGTTAAACATGTTATAAAATTCCTAAATGATTAACATTGCTCAAACAACTAAGTTTTTTTTTTTGGGGGGGGGGTTGGGGGGGGGGTTACAGTTAGAAAAAGATAAAAATTCTGTTAAGGTATCTAGTGCATAACTGTGATCTTTCTGAAAATTAATTTTTTTCTGCTGGAATCTGAAAATGAGTGCCATTTATAAAACCAACTGAAGGAAAAACAAGTGGCATTAAAATGACTACTTGTGCTACCCTGATATCCAGTAAGTCAAATAATTTCTTCTGTTGCAAATTTGAAAAATAAATGCAATTTTTCACCATTACTTAGATTGATATTGCTTTTTTTGGGGAGGGACAGTAAAGTTGACAAACTGAAATTAAATTAGTATGAAATTTATTTGGATAAAATCTAGAAACAATATTAATTTTCTTTTATAAAATATTTAGTTTATATCTATTCACATACTCTTATGTTGAAAAGTTCGTGGAAAATACTGGAAAGGCAGTTCTTTTTGAAATATAAAAAAATATTTACTGAATCACCTTTGAAATGTTATTCTCACCAAGTCATCTATCTTCCAAGGACAGGAAGTAGCTGTTTTTATCAAGTCATATATCAGAATATGGTTAAATTTGTTTAAGAAGCTGTAGTCATCCATGTGAACAGACTCTGACTTGTTTCAAAGCCCCTGGGATTCCTAGAACTTTCGATAGATTGCCTCTTTTGGTATTGGTCATCATTGGGCATCATGTTATTTCAAATGGCTTGAATGTCTTAAAGAAAGTGACCCGTAGACTGATCTTAAAAAGAGAAAATACTGCAGTCAGATCATGAGAAATTTGGCAGGTAAGGTGGTTTCACTTTGATAGAGATCATCAGTGTGATAATAGTTTCAGAATGACAGATTATTATGTCTATTATGTCTTTGAAAAAAAAAAAAAAAAAAAAAAAAACAAGCTCAGGCAAAATTAAAGCAAAATATGCTTTAAATCTGGCTGCACTGCAACAGGAACTATGCTGTTCTAGATGGTATTACTTCACACTTTCTTTTGTACAGAATATACTAACTCTTTCTCGTAATAATTCAGTTTTAATTATTGAAAACTTCATGCACTTAGTATGATTTTTCAACAAACGTTTTTGTTGTTAATATGCAGTGAATATATCCATTGATAGTTTAAAATTGTATTTTCAGGTTGTACAGGAAAAAAATCCATACTTATTTACCATAGCCACTTTAACTGGTCATGCTTGCCTGACTGTTGGTGATGGATATTCAGTAAGTTATTTTTTAATATTATTTCAGAACAAAGGAATTATTTTCTCATTTTATTCTCAAAGTAAGTTAGTTATTCTACTATTATTGCATTTTTATAAGATTTGGAAGTGTGGTATTGAACTGCACTTTCTGTTTAGCATTTTTTTTTTCAGGAAATAAGCAGTTATTATCTCATAAATAATTAATACCTTTTGCAATTTAATTAGTCCAAAGGGACTTGAGTCCCGAAGGACTATTCCTTTCGTTTTGGCATTTTGCGTCGGACGGATAAATGTCGGTTCACTTTTCAAACTGTTGCCATAAAATGTTAGAGTCCTGCATTATATTTGAAGAAATTAAATAATGAAAATCTGCGTAAATGTATGTATATTTCTCACATTGTCATAAAATAACGGTACATAGAGTCATCGAATTTTGAATAACGTAATCCTCCAACGAATATGAGCATGTGGAAGACCAAATTTGAAATTTGTTTTATGATTTTATGATCGATTTCCTATTTTTTAAAACTTTGACGAATTTTTGATTAACCAGCTCAAGGATTTCAAAGCGAGCAATGGCAATGTTGTGCAGAAAAAACATTTTTATCTCCAGCGCGTGAGTCTCTGTATCGGAAATTCTAAAGATATGCTCGTTTTAAAACTATTTTGCGATATTGCTGTTGCACTGGATCTTATGATTTAAGTGCAAGGAACATGATATTTAATAAAGAAAGGTAACACACAAAATGTTAAAAAACACCCCTTTGGACATAATTTAAAATCTGAAACATTTCAGATTTTTTTTTTTTTTTTTTTTTTTATGGAAAATTAAAGATTTTTACTTTAGGCACCTGCAAAAGAAAATGAATTGGATCTCCATCTCATTCCAAACTTTTAAAATTGTTAAGATTCCTGAAACATAAAACTGCAGGCGCTGTGGAATAGTGTCCATATCTTGAAATGTGAAGGTGCCATGCAGATTGAACTTCTCTAGTTCCTGAGTAATATCTTGCAAATAAAAATTCATGCTATGAATGAAAGTTGTTTATTTTTAAAGAATTATTGTGGATAATTAAAATGCTGACTATTTGACACATATTTCCAAAATCCTTATTACCTGACTAATACATACAGAAATTATATACATATAGTAGTAGTTATTTTTGAGTATAGCTTTTATACCCAGACATAACTATTAGAGCAATGGACTTTCTTATTTTATCAAATTTAAGTCGCTCATATTCCATCAGAGTATAATATTTCTTCAAGTAACCCATGAGGATTTCTATGTTGATCTGATTTGCTTTTAAAATATCATTGTTTAGGAGTGTAAAGAAACTCCTGAACTCTCTACTAGAAAGATCTATGATGCTCTCGACTAGAGATCACACTACGAGGACTATAATTCATTTTTAATTCATATTTTAAAGAACTGTGAATGGCAACGACTTAACTGAGAATTACGCATGCGTAAAGAGATGAGACTTCTGTTGAGACACCTGTGAGAGAGTGCTGGGAAGCTCCGCCAGCGAGCTGAGGTGTGGAGACTTTGTTCGTCGAGTGATGACGAGTGCCATCTTCGTTAACGTCTCTGATCGTGTCACCAGCTCGGATATCTACTATAGTTTTTTAAATGTATTAATTAAATGTTGTATCTGTGTTATGTTGTGTGAATAAAAATGATGGATCACCACTACCAGTGTTGATACTGAAGCATCCACGACGTCACAGACGAAAGAAATAAAAATAGACTGATAGGATAGAAAAGGAAAACTTAGAGAAGCAAACAAGAGCGAAAGAACTACAGTTAGAACAGGAAGCTAGGGAGAGGGAATTTCAGATACTACAACAAAATAAAGAAATTGAAAAGCAACAGTTAGAACTAGAATGAGCAAAACAGAACACTGAATTTGCTAAACCTGGAGTTGAAACCGTATTTGATCAGAATTTTCAGAAACTTATGCCCAAGTTTAATTTAAAGATTGATGATATCAGTTTATTCTTAGAACTTTTTGAGAGGCAAGCTAAAGTTTTAAAATTGCCCATGGATCAATGGGTGTCATATCTCATTGGTGTCCTTCCGTTTGAGGTAAATAATATAATTGCTAGGGAGCCTGAAGAACAGGCTAGAGAAACCAACATATTAAAGAATTACTACTTAAAAGATTTAAGTTAAGTGCTGAGAAGTTTCGGCAACTTCTTGTTAAGACTCAGAAAAATCCGGATTCTACGTGGTACGATTTTTATCACGAAATTAAAACAATTTTAGATGGGTGGCTCAAGGGATTAAAAATCGAAACATTTGAGCAACTCAAGGATTTAATGTTGGTAGATCAGATTAAAAGGCGCACACCTAATGAGTTTAAGGAACATTTTATAGATGAATAGGCCACAATCACTTCACCAAAACAGTTGGTGGAACAGAGGAATTTGAAGATGTGAAAAAGACGATGGTTGGGAAAATGAAATTGGGTGAACTGAAAACGAAAATATCAGGTAGACAAATGGGTGTTTTTCAGTTCACTGGTAACGTTTTCAAAAATAGAAAAAACCCTCAAGGCACACAATTAAAAAAAGATGATGACGCACGCAATGTTGGGAAAAAGTCGGACTTGAATTCTGATAGGAGAAAAAGACTCCAGTGCTATGAATGTGGATCTTTTGACTCATTTACGTCCTCAGTGCCCTAATTTAAAAACTCAAAAGGCAGATTTGTATCGGATAAGCGGGAGATCAGAGAAGAATCTGTTAGATCCCTATACATTAAATGGAAGAGTAAATGGTTTTGAAGTACCTATTCTAAGAGATACGGGAGCAACGGTAGATATTATTTGTCAGAAATATGTAGACAGAGATAGAATGAAGGGGGAACATGTGTGGGTTCGACATTTGTTGGATGATCATATGACTTGTTTACCTGTTGCTGAAGTAGATATTGAATGCGATTTGGGTACAGTAACCACCAAAGCAGCTGTTATAGGAGACCACTTAGACCAAGGGCGATATATATTAGGCAACCAGACAGCGGCTCTTCTCAGAGGAACTGAGAAAAATTATTCGTCGTATGTCGGTAATGTTAATGCGGTCGTTACTCGATCTCAAGCACGACAATTTAAGGAAGCGGAAAATTTATGTGAGACGAATCAAAATTCTGAGCAGAATGAGTTAGAATTGGAAGAGGAGGACGATGCTCATGAGAGGTCTGAAAATGGAGAGATATTGCCTCCAGTCGAGCTTTGTGTCCCCACAAGTCCTGCGATTCAAATAGACTCAAGTACTTTTATTGATGAACAACAAAAAAGTAAAATCTTGCGCCTTTATTAGAACTAGTAAAAAATGGAAGTAAAACAAGTTATGTGGTTTTAGTAAAAAGAAGGTAAATAAGTTAGGAGGAGAGGAGAAGAATATTTAATTGTTGTGTCCAGAAAACCTCAGAGAGCAAATTAAAGCAATTTGTCATGAAGGAACTTCAGGTCACTTAGGAGTTCTGAAAACAAAAGACCGGTTACTAAGACATTTTTCTGGCCAAATTGTTATAAAGACATTGAGGAATTCGTTTTAAAACATGCGACTCCTGTCAACGTGTAGGAAAAGCAAGTGACAAAAAGAAAGCACCGTTGGTAATAGTACCTGTGATATCGGAAGTCTTTAGTAAGGTTAATGTAGATGCTTGCGGGCCTATGCCTACATCTACTGAAGGTAATAAATATCTTATTACAGTTATGTGCTTAGCATCTAAATATCCTGACGCCGTCCCGGTACCGGATATAACGTCGAAATCTGTTGTAAGTGCACTCTTGCAGGTATTTAGTCGGATGGGCTTTCCAAGGGAGGTTCAAACTGATCAAGGGAAATCTTTTATGAGTCGCTTAACCGTTGAATTTTTGAAGAGTTTTGGTATAAAAATTTCCAGAAGTTCGGTTTACCACCCCCAGAGCAATCCTGTGGAACGGTTCCATAGGTCAATAAAAAGGGTCTTAAAGGTACTGTGTATTGAAGCTGCCCCAAATTGGGAAATACAAGTACCTGCCGCTCTCTTTGCTCTGCGAACAGTAACGCATGATAGTACAGGATTTAGTCCAGCTGAATTAGTGTACGGGACCAACCTCAGGACACCTGTCGCATTATTGTATGAGAAATGGTTAGATCCCCAGGGAAAAGAAGGTACCGTAATAGAATATGTTTTCGAATTAATCAATAGGTTAAAGAAAAGTAGAGAATTAGCTACAGAGAAAATGGAAGAGGTGAGAGACAAAAGGAAGAAATGGTATGACAAAAATGCCGTGAAAAGGGAATTCCAGCAAGGAGATTCTGTATTAGTATTAGCAGTGAACCAACCCCATAAACTCGCTCCTCAATGGAAAGGGCCGGGGAAAAATAGAGAAAAGATTATCAGAAACAAACTATGTGGTTAGTTTTGAAGGGAATCAGGAAGGGAATAAAGTGTATCACATCAATATGTTAAAACCTTATCATAAGAGACCTGAACTTTTGAATATGGTGCTCCTTGACACAACGAGGAGATAGTTGAACCCTCGGAATTAGAGGAGGATTTTCCTTATATGTTAACCGACCCCAATGTGTTTGATTTTAATGAAATAATAGCAAAAGATAATCTTAAAGAAAGACTTAGTGATGAACAAATCCTGCAGTTGGGAAAGTTGTTGGTAAAGTTTTCTGCTATATTTTCGAATATTCCAGGGGGAAAACAAATTTAGTCGAACATGATATCGAACTAATCAGTGACAAACGCGTACAGCATAAGCCTTATAGAATGACAAATCAACAGAACGAAATTCTTAAAGTCGAGATTGAAAAAATGTTAAAATACAAGATTATTGAACCAGGACCCTCTGAGTATACTTCACCCATGATCCTTATTGAAGCACCAGGTAGGAATCCTAGGCCGTGTATTGATTACAGAAAGCTAAACGAAATAACGCGTACTGAGTTCTATCCGATCCCCAATATAGAGCAACGTGTTGAAACTGTTGCAGCAGCCAAATTTATCACCTTGAT